TATATATATATATATATATGAGGCCATAAACTCTATGAATATTATTTCTTAAAAGAATTAGCAATATATTGTTCATATATTGCTCTACTCCTGCTGTTGGAGTATAACATGTCATACCACAGGACCTCAACTTTCAAATATTTTATATCCGATATTATGTACAGCAGATACACCAGTTTATCAATGTCCAATGTACGTTTTTTACTAAATGAAGCAAATCAAGGTAGTCCTTAAATTAGGGTGACCATACGTCCTCTTTATCCCGGACATGTCCTCTTTTGGACCTTAAAAAATGCGTCCGGCCGGGATTTCTAAATCGCCCAAAATGTCCGGGATTCGGCTTTTGCTTTCTACAGTCGCCATTCATAGTGTACATTTTTGTATTAGAGCCCTGAAGAAGCCTGTGTCCAGTCCCACCCACTCCCGCAAACATTCTAATATTGCATATAATTTTCGCGCATCAGTGGGCCGCTATCAATATGTGGAGAATATAATCACTTTTGGATGAGCGCTCGCTGTTCACTTTCGAATTCGCGATCATGTGTGCTCTGTGTAAAGGAAGATCAGATATTTGTCAATGAGCTCAGGATCTGTTGAGCAGCAAATCCTCCAGCATGGTCTGTCAGCCATCTCTCCTCTCAACCCCTGATCAGTCAAATCTGACTCCTGCAGCTTGTGTTGGATGCAGGGTTGTCAAGTCCGCATTTTTTTTCAGATGGAATTGGGCTACTTTTAAACTGTTGCCATGGCTTGATTATTAAATAATATTATTTTAATTAGGGGTGTACTATATATCGACATATAATCGATATTGCATTATGGCTTAATGCAATAGTCATATCGTGAAGGCTGTGATTAAATTCAATAAAAATACCTATGCGCTGCAGTTTTCAATGTGTTCGAGTGCAGCGCTTCACTCTGAAACATGCAGTGCATTTATTTATTTGCTGGCAAACAAATATTTGAATTTGAGCAGAGATGCACCAATCTGTTTTTTTTTTCTTCTTCAGAGTCTGTAAACGGCGTTAGAGGCCAAAGACACAAAGAGGAGAAAATACATTAGCAGGCAGAGCAAGCTGACAGTTCACAATGCGCGAAGTATGAATGTATCTCTGAGGGGAACTGACTGTCTTAAGAAACAGTTTAGATGGTATTTTCCTTTCATCTTGCCTCTGTATAATGCATTGTTTACAATGCATCACTGCTGTTCTTTAAGCGCCACCTGCTGACAGAGTGAATTTGCATTTTCATTCAGCCCATCTGCTGTTTGGTATGTTTTATGTAGCCTAATTTCACAAAGCTAAAGTCAAACCATTCGGTTTTTGCTTCAGGTTTTGAAATTATACGGTCTAATTTTAGATCAAAATATAATGAAGCAACTAACCATATTCTTCCTACTCATATTTTCATTCTTTCTTGTCTTTTGCTTAAATAAAATACATTAAAAATCAGTATTGGATTCTGCCAAAAGTTAAGATCAGTGCATCCCTAAATTTATGAATGCCTGAAATTAAGAAATAAGACTTAAATGTTAGTATTGTAGCTGCCTTTGGACGATAAAGTTCTCTAATTTAAAAAAGCTAGTTGAGTTAATGTCCGTTTATTTATTTATAGGAAGCTTTTTAGCTGTGTTTATGATCAATGTGCATAACAGTGACTGTAAAATATGTATATTAGGTATGGAAATGACATATTTTGAGTTTTGATATTTGAGATTGCGCTATTTTGGGCGCTTTCGGCATTACTTTAACCACCAAACACACCCCAGCCCCCCGACCCGACCCACCCGGCCCGGCCCGCACCCACTGTCCTCTTTTTGAAAAACTAAAATATGGTCACCCTACTTCTGTATATAGGCTATTTAACATTATATATTATTAAGATACTCAAGCAAGTGGCAAAACGTAAACACAGCCTGCTGTCTACATTTCTTACGTTAAAAGGTAGTAGGCTATCACAAACAATTTAAATTAAAACTTACCATTGACAGAAACCACTGTCTTGTGCCTTTTCTTTTGCATTACATCCTTATTACAATCCTGCTGGTCATAAAGAAGTTTTTCTAACTCTACGAGTGCCATCTATGTTGCCGTAGCGTAGCCTATTTATTTAAAAGGGTACTTTTTCCTTGCTTTACCCCCATTGCTAAAAAACCGTGTTAACTGTAAAAAAAAAAAAACAGTCTTTAGGCCTACTTATTTGCATTTATGGTGTAATTAATACATTTCGTATCAATCCATGTTCATTTTTACCGTGAGCAATGCGCTGTCACTTTAATTCAGCGTGTGCAGCACATAGACTGTATAAAAACATGGACATAATGTCCGTGACGTCACCCGTAGGTTTCTGAAGAGCAGTTTTGAAGCTCAAAGTGGGCGGAGCTGGCTGTCGCCATCTTGGCAGCGTACTTTTAGGCTTAATATAATTAAAACGGATGAGTTATAAAAAAATTCACCCCCCTCACAGTTGTCATGAAGGGCAAAATTGGCTATATAGACAAATAATTTTTGGTACCAGTCTGTAAAACATATTTTTTCTGCTGTAAAGTTGGGCATTTTAACATGGGGAGTCTATGGGATTGACTCCCTTTTGGAGCCAGCCTCTAGCGGCCAGTCGATGAATTGCAGTTTTAGTCACTTCCGTGTTGGCTTCACGAGTGAGAGCGGGAGGTTGCCGCTTGGTGCAGCACAACAAAAATAGACTCGGTGCGGAAACTCTTGTGAAACGATCACTGCGATGATAAACAAAAATAAAAGTTTACATTCGTATGTATTTTTGTATCTATTGTATTTATTTTTAATATCAATGCTTTTTAAGCCAATATATCACCATCCCCTGACCATTATAATGTGACAAATTCATTAAAGAATACCTTATTTAATTCTGACATAATCCACCACAGCCTTTTTTTTTTGTTTTGTTTACAGAGTTTTCCCTCTGTAAAATTGGGTGTCGGCATCCGCTAACAGCGTTGATCATTGATAGCTCATTTAAAGGTAATGTCACCACCAATAAATTTGACTAATTTGGACAGGCACGCCAAATGGAGTCGAGGAGTCGACTCCAATGGTGGGAGGCCCTGTCCCAAATCGCACCCTAAACCCTCGCTGTCTTCCTCTGAGTCCGCACTTTCGTGACGTAATGCCGCTTTGACTGTCGGGTAGAAGTCTGCTGTGGAGCTCGCCCCAGTGCGGGCTCGGCAGAAGTGCGGATCGAGGGCGCATAACAGCCACAAAGGGGGCGCTCGCGAGCACCCTTCTGAACGCTAAAATGACGCATGGGACACCCTACGGTCTCGTGGACTTAACGGACATGCGTACGCGGCAACCATTGTAAGTCCATAAGACCGCAAGTGCACATGAAGTGTTCCATTTGGGACAGGGTCGGAATCGAGAGTCATAGTCGACTCCAAAAAACCTGGAATCGAACACCTCTAGACGCAGACTATCCAGCGTTTATCGGGTTGTGCGTCAGTAATAATGGTCCGTGGGCAAACACAGTGTTCCGTGTGTAGTTACAAAAAATAAACTAAACTATTCGAGTTACTCGAGGAATCGTTTCAGCCCTAATATATATTAGTGCTGTCAAACGATTAATCGCATCCAAAATAACTGTTTTGTGTTTACATAATATATGTATACTGTGTATATTTATGTATATTTACATTTACACTTAGTCATTTAGCAGACGCTTTTATCCAAAGCGACTTACAAATGAGGACAATGGAAGCAATCAAAAATATAAATACACACGCATGCATATATATATTTCAGAAAAATTTTATTTATTTATAATATAAATTATATGAATATAAATATAGACATGTAAATACATGTAGATATTTTTACAAATATACTGCATGTGTGTGTATTTATATATACATAATAAATGTACACAGAACACACACACATTATGCAAACAAAAAAAAATTTGGGGATGCGATTAATCGCATTTAATCGTTTGACAGCACTAATGTGTATTAAATTATATTTAATGTGTAATTGTTGTATTTGTTTAAACAAACATTTTTATTACTCATTAATTGTTACATGTATTCATAAATAATTACAGAATACAATTAATACAATTTATAATATACAGTAATATAATATATATAATACAAATAATAATTGTTGCACAAAATATTATATAAATTAGTATATTAATTATTATTTGTATTATACTTTTTATATGCGTGTGTGTGGAGCCATGTAATTTGCTTCTTTTCTCTACTACATTGCATCCTGTCTCTTCTGTGTGCAGCATTCACGGCAAACCGTGCCTGCTTTGTGGGGGAGCCGAGCTCAGCAGCGATGGGCTTCCAGCCTCCCTATGAACACTGTGGTTCTGTTCGTACCCCAGCAGGAAGCTTGGGTAGTGGAGAGGATGGGCCGTTTCCACCGAATCCTGGAACCAGTGAGTTACCCTTACGAATAGCTTCAATGTATTTAAATCATCTCCAGCCATTAAAATAACACACTTTTTTTTGTTTCCTGCAGGGTCTAAACTTCTTAATTCCCATCTTGGACCGAGTTAAATATGTTCAAAGCCTTAAAGAGATAGTGATCGATGTGCCAGAGCAGTCAGCAGTTTCCCTCGGTAAGTCGCAGGCTGGCGTTGTGATCTTTATCCACTCCTACTTTCATGGATTGTTTTAGATGAAACCAGTATGTCGTTTGGCTTTTAGACAACGTGACATTGCAGATAGATGGAGTTTTATATCTCAGGATACTCGACCCGTTTAAGGTAAGTACTTTTCTGCTTTCTGCCAGTATTTCTTTCGGCTTTTCCTCTCACAGTGTGCTTTTGTTCTCCTCTGAAGGCCAGTTATGGAGTGGAGGACCCAGAATATGCCGTCACCCAGCTGGCACAGACCACCATGAGATCAGAGCTGGGAAAACTGACCCTGGACAAAGTGTTTAGGGTGTGAATGCCAGACAATCTCTCAGTGACTGACACAATATCTTATTCACCATTCATTTGTGTGCTTAAGGATCATTTTTGCTGTTTGACAGGAAAGAGAGTCCCTGAATGCCAATATGGTCCACTCGATAAACCAGGCATCAGATGATTGGGGGATTCGATGTCTTCGATACGAGATCAAAGACATTCACGTTCCTCCACGAGTAAAAGAGTCTATGCAAATGCAGGTATGACGATTTGCTCTTCAACTTCATCTCAGACTACAGTGATCTCCTCTTAGTTATGTGACTGATCTAACATGAATCACGGTCAGGTGGAGGCCGAGCGGAAGAAGAGAGCCACTGTTCTGGAGTCAGAGGGGACGAGGGAGGCGGCCATCAATGTGGCCGAGGGGCGCAAACAGGCTCAGATTCTGGCGTCTGAGGGACAGAAGGCCGAACAGATTAACAAAGCTGCTGGTGGGTTTTTTTTTACTTAACATCTGGGGTTTCACTTAATGTTTGTAGTAGAAAAAAAATGTGTTGTTGAGGTTTTGTAGTTTTTTTTCAAAATGATTTATGTAATAACTTGCCTCACCTCTGAACTGCATTTCCTTTTTGGCTGAAGTCTCATTAACTTAAAATACAAAAACATTTTCATTATTGAAAAAAAAATCAAAATATATAGTTGTCAAGGCATCACTTCTCATTTTATTTTGTTCTTCTCATTTTAAGTTGAGGTACTTAAAAAAACTATATAGACATTTTTTAAAAACAAACTAATAAAAATGACAAAAACGCATAACAAAATGAATACAACTTTAACTAAAATTAAAATAAAGAAACTAATTCATAATATTAACAAAAGCAAAAATATATTCCAAAAAAGGCCTTGTGGACTATTGGTTTATGATGATTTACAACTTGTTGTTAATGTTGGTTTACATTAATGTTAACATTTTTACATTGGATATCCAGTTTCACTTGGAAATGTGTCAGATAGCAAATACAATGGGTTGGGAATGCTGTTTGTTGTTGATTTAATAATAATAATTATTATTACTTTTTATTATTGTTCTTGTTCTTGTTAATAATAATAATAAATGTTATTTTTAATATGATTATATTTTACTATTATTAAATTACATTTCCAAAGTAATCTTCCCAACACTGATTATGGGACAGCGACTATCTCGAGAGAAAGCGGAGGAAGGAGGTGAGTTCACCACTGACACCCACCGACCACACGGCGGCGCTCCAACCTCATCCTGACGAGACGAGCGGGCGAGAACAAAGAAGGCATAAAAAGAGGTTTTGGAGGTTTGCCTCTTCTTTACTCTTGTTTCTCTCCACCCAAATCTACCATGGCTCAGGAGGACCACAGTGAGGTGGACCAGGACACTGATGCTGCCCCGTCCCCAACCTCCCTGTCAAGCCAGGCCTACAAGTTCCTCTCACTACTGCCAAAGTATTGCTCCTTTTCTCAGCTGCCTTGGGCCCAGAGATCCTGTCTGGGATGCTTCAGACACACCAGTGTAGGCTGCCATAAACAAACTACTAAAAAAGCTGAGGGCCCAGAGAGGTGCCTGCCTTGAAAATACTAGGATGCCCATTTCACAGCTTTGCTGGTCCCTGAGGTTTCTCACACTGCTGCTTCAAAGGTTCCTGCAAAAACTAAAGATTGCAGATGTGTCAGAGAGTAACAGGCATCACATCATGGCAGCTTCTGTTTCAAAGCTTTCGAGAGGTTCCTGACATGACAGACAGGGTCATCATCTCCGACACAAAGGTTCCTCTCGTGATGGAGCAGAGATTCATGCTAAAGAAGTTCCAGCCAAGGCCGCCGCAGTGTTTCTCGTAGTAGCTTCTGTCAGAGTTGGTGTCCAGTCCCAGAGCTGCTCTCTCAAGCTCCCTGGTCCCAGAGGATCCTCTCACATCTCCAGTGTTTTCCTGTCACTGGTGTGATTCCTCCATAAATATATTACACCTGTATGCCACATTAAACACACTTTGTGATTGTAAAAATATATTGTTTTAAATAGGAAAACATCTGGGAATATTGACCATTCCTCTAGAGAGGTTAAGCCTCTTACACCTGTATGCCACATTAAACACACTTTGTGATTGTAAAAATGTATTGTTTTAAATAGGAAAACATCTGGGAATATTGACCATTCCTCTAGAGAGGTTAAGCCTCTCCTTGTACCATTTTATATGCATCACTTTCAATGGTAATATGAATAAGATAAGTAACAGCTCAAAGAGGAACTACACTAAGTGGCCCTTTATTGGCTATCTGAAGCCCACAGGGGTGACAAGAACAGGTGGATATGAAAGATTTATACACAAAGACATTTAATTACATATTAAAAGACATTAACTTTTATTGCAATTGTAAACAGGTGTGATCTTCAATCAACAAAATTCTCATTCTTAAGTTATTAAACAGCATCCATTTGTTCTTATAAAAGCACTCTTTATTCATTTCTTAACACTGTTCCTCCTTGTTAAAAAAAATAAACAAAAAATTAAAATATGTAAATGGAATCTTTTGCTTTCCAGGAAGGCAACATTTACAAGCAAACCATTGATCAGAACGGCTCATTTGCATGAAAAATAGAGTCAGAAAGTTAGAAACATATCAAGCCCCAGCCCATGTGTCAGTAGTATTAACTTTTGCCAGGACTGTGATTGTCTGTGCAACTGGGAAAGAGGTTTTTATAGATTTTTGCTTAACTTTTAGTTTACATTTTTCAGAAGAATTTGGGCGGAGAATGTCATCAAAATATATATTCATAAAACTTGACTTTGGTCAGCTGAAGTAAAATCAAGTCACACATCCTTTCTTTTAAATTCTTAAGTTCTTTGCATTTTTGAAAAATAAAGACACTTTAAGGCACCAAGAATAATTAACATTATACTAAATGCACATTTTGCAGGAAGAATAAAATTATAAGAATTCTAAAGTTTCTTAGCCACATGCATGAGTTATAGGTCACTGAGGCTGTATTCAAGTTCGAGGACTGAGCAGGTGAACCAGACTGATTTAACCACAGTTAAACACAGGTAAATATCAAATCTGTGGAAACCTGGCACAGGATAGTGCCCACCAAACACACACACGCAAGTAGCAGTAGTAATCAATATCATTACTTTGTTCCATTTCATTGAGAAGAGACAGAGAGAGAGAGAGCTGTGTCTAGTGCTAATCACAGCGCTCCTACAGTGTCTCATCACAAGCAGTTAAGTGGACTGTATATCCACACTCTATCACATAAACGGCCACTACTACTGTGACATTTTACAGTGTATCTAGGCTTGCTCTTCCTAAAATGTTCCTGAAGGATACAAGAGTGAATCTCATGAAACTTGTCTAGAAGTCCAGGTCATAACACAAAACAATGCAAAAATTGAAGTTGTAATTATCATGAATGGTTGTATTTGTTGTAAAGTCTTTAATTTATGTCATTTTAAAGTAAAATGGTAAAAAATATAATGAAGATAATCACTGAGAATAACACACACACACAATTCCTAGCCCAAAAATTCAGATGGTAATGAGAATGGGAAACGCGCTTAATTGTGATTTTACAGCACGTTTCAAGAGATTCACCCACAAAGATTAATATAGACAGACTGTGTACAAAAATTATGTCAAATAATTGTTTTCTCTATGGCTTGGTAGTTTGTGAAACTTGCTGTTTTACCCGTAAGTGACCGGTATGAAATGAACATTTACAAATTTAGCTTTTAGCAATCTAAAACAAAACAAAAAATTACAAATATTTATTAAATATGGTATGTTTATCTGATATAATATATAATCATTTGATGAAGTGTTATCTTATACACTATTACAGTATTTATTCATTTTGAAAATTTCAGCTTTCATTTTAATGCATGTTTTAGTAATTTGTTTCATTTTTTATATTTCTTTTTAGCTTTTATTTATGTTTATTTGAATTTTAGTACTTCAAAAGCAACATTTGTCATGTTTGTGTTTTATATATATATATATATATAAATAAAAGTTCAGCTTTATTTAAATTAAGGAAAATTATTTTTGATCATATTAAGTGATTCTACTTTAAATACAAGGTTTATCGTAAGTCAAAACTCTTTTATAGTTATTAATTATTTTAATAATAAATTACTTTGTATTTTAATTAAAACAGCAAATCCACTAGTGAATCCCATTTCAGTAATGATTATTGTGGATGTGCTTATTTGTAATTACCTATGTAATAACCTAAGAAAATCATTTTAAAAATATACAGCACAGGTCTGCCTTTCAAAAATCCAATATCTCACTAGATTTTATTGCTTATGAACCCAGTTCCGCAGTGCTCCTCTTTCAAAGTTCACCTTTGAGTCTGGTGTGCAGGTCCTCTTGGTTGATTTTGGCCGTCTGCTCGTACCAGCGGTGGTGGGCGAGCAGGGCCAGATTGCGGGCGGAAATGGCACTCATCTCCATGGCACTAGCAGCCCACTCCACGGCGTTGAGGTAGTAGAGGCGATCATGGAGGATGAAGGGAGGCGTCCTGCGGTGCGGCGGGCTGTAGGAGGGGTACGCGAGCCAGCGCTTCTCCGACACCGAGTCCCAGGAAAGGAAGATTTGCTGCAGATTCTTCTGAGAAAGTGGCTGGGAGGAGAAGATCTTCCATACTTTGTGTTGACTGGCAGGGCTGGGGGAGTAACCCTTGGGAATCTTTACCGGGTTCAGAGAGCTCAGGCTGTGGATCTCGGAGGCTTTGTTGTCTAATGTGAGGACGTCAGAAACAAAGAAGCGTTCTGGCTTCTCTGTGGTGCCCAGATAGGACACATTGAGCAGGCCGTGGACCAGCGTGGCCACCGTTTGGTGGTAGCGGCCAGGGAAGTGGGTTGGAATGGGTGGAGAAAAGCCTGAGAAGTTGATGTCAGACATGCCCTGGTGGAGAGGTGTGGCAACTACAACTATGTCGTACGTGGAATGGGCGGCACCAGACTCACCAACATAGTTCACTTCGTAGAAATTTGCAGCGGAGCCTGAAAGGGCAACAAAAAAAATGTATAAAGTATGACAAGACTGTTTGGGGTTGGCAAGAAATCAACTTATTGACCCCAAACTTGTGAACTTTTGTTGGCAATGTACATAATATATAAAAAGATTCTTTATGATGTTCAAAGTGGACTGTACCAGTTTTGGATGGTCTCATCTTCATGGAGATGGCTGTCACACGAGCTGGAACAAGTTCAGCTTTGCTGTGGTACAGAAGGCCGGAACAAACCATCTTATTCCCTCCATCCACTGCCCACAATCCTGAGTCTGCTCCTGCTAGTGCAATAGCACCTACAAATACAATATGCCATATTCACACACTTCTGTATCTAATAAATCAGTTCTCCCCAACGGATTTTGTGAGAGGGCCATTTTACACTGGTAGTGATGCAAAACATCATATTTGCAACACATCAAATTTGTGATACAAAACTAACTGCAAAAATGCCTGATAAATTATTGTAGCTAATGTTCTCTATGGCATCTGAGGCAATGGCAAATAATAGTGTACACAATTGAGAAAAGGGACAAAAAATCCTTTTAAAAACTAGTTTAAAACACGTTGCAACTTTTTAAAAATGTATCTTTGCATTCATGCTGGTTTAATTCTGAAAACTTGACGTAGAAAAAAATGTAAAGGTAATGACTCTAAAATGTCAATTGGTGTAAGTAAAATATAATTACATATTTTCCTCAAATACTTGTGAATGTACATATCTTGATCATTATTTTTTTTAAATGTTTTTAAATTTTTCAAGGTAAAAAGAATTTTTGGGAAATATCATAAATCATTCATTTATAAATATTACGTTTTCTAGGGGTCGCACCACATGACATCTTACAACCTAAACTTATCTTGCCTCGTCATAAAAAGCTTAAATTATCTGATGTTTTAAGAGACTTACTGACATTGACAAACCGTCATAAGTTAATTGCACAGTTGCACCAGATGATTTTGATTTGGCACACACATTAAAAAAAAAAAATCAAATATTATAAATATACTAGTGCTGTCAAACGATTAATTGCATCCAAAATAAAAGTTTTTGTTTACATAATATATATGTGTATACTGTGTATATTTATTATGTATATATATAAATACAAACACATGCAAGCAAATATGTTACATTTATATGTTAAATATATTTATATATATAAAATATACGAATATGAATATGAATATAAATGTATAAACATGTACATTTTTCAAAATATATACTTAATATGTGTG